AACTTGAAGAGCACGGAAAACATAGGAATAAAATGAAGCTAACTTTTGTTTAGTCGGATGACATGATTTAAAGTGTGGTGGAAGGCAAAACCGATGAAGGTTTACGGTAACGTAAACTGTAGTACTGAAGTTGGATGTGTTACGTGTGACCAGAATGTCGAGAAACGGAAGAGAATTGCAAGTGTCAAGTTCAAAAGTGAACTGAATAGCAGGATCAATAGAATTCATTGTTGAAAGAACTCTATTTAAATCATCTTTATTACCTTCAAACAGGGTAAAAGTATCGTCTACGTAGCGGAACCATGCCGGGAAGTTTAAAGTTTCAAACAATTTTGATTCATAATAATGCATGTAGATATCAGCCAGGATGGGACTGAGGGGGCTTCCCATGGCTAATCCCTCAGTTTGCTTGTAATATTATTTTGGAAAACAAAATGTGTTTTGTTTCAAACAGAGTTGAGTGAGAGAAATTAGCTCATCAATTTCGATGCAAGAGAAATGAAACTCGCGAAGTCTGGTTTCTAGACATCTTAATGCACCCTCCACTGGGACATTGGTGAATAATGATTTTACATCAAAAGAAACCATGAGTAAATTACGAGGAGAAATGTTTTTAAAACCTTTTTTACAAACTCTATTGAATTTTTTTATGGTGTAAATGTTTATTGTCTAATAGAGTGGAAAATCTAGAAACTAAATATTTAGCTAATGGATACGAGGCAGTACCTAAATTTGATACAATAGGGCGGAAAGGAATACCACTTTTATGAATTTTGGGAAGAGCATATAATCTGGCACAATTTGCAACAGATGGGATAAGCGAATGTTTTAAGTTGCTTGAAATGATTTGCGAAGATTTGATCGCAGTTTTTATTTTGGATAAGTCCGAAGGTGAAGGATCTTTAGGGATCGGATTATATGGTCCTTCGTTTAAGAGTTTAGTGACACCCATCGATGTAAGTGTTCTTATCCATGACGACTATCTGGCCACCTTTGTCGGCCTTTGAAATGACAATATCCGGGTTAGAATGAATCTCACGCATTGTAGCTCTTTCTCTCGCAGTTAGATTTGGTTTCAAAGGTTTATTATTGAATTTCACATTATGAGCGATAAGATGCCTAATCATTTCTTTCTGTGAATCTGAAACTTTACTGAACTTGAAAGCTTTTTTCGATAGGAGCCAAAATCTTTGGAATCGAGGGTTTACAGGTTTGTAAGAAGTTAAAATTATATTTTAGAATTCTCTCTTGCTCTTTCTGAAAGACTAACATTAGAAATATTAACTATTAGCTTGATGTTTACAATGGGAAGATTTTTTGAACTACTTGAACTGGAAGACTGTAAAAGAAGTTTTTCGAATTTAACTGCAAGGGTGTTTTTATGACGGTTAACTGCATTCTCCGTTCTAGACCAAGACTTTTGTTCAAGGGCAGTGAATTTTGGATATGTTTTAGTTAGCGAGTTCCCAGATGAAGCTTATAGAGTTCATGTTCAATTTTGGACATTGTTGACGTGTATCCCTTATCACGGACCGAAGTAAGGCAAGTTTGCAATTTAACAGAATTCTTGAAACGCGACTCGAAGGTTTTTGATTAGATTTGATTTGAATAAAATTGGGGATCAATTTTTTACATTTACATTTAAGTAAAAAGTCAAGATGATTCAGGAATTTTTGCCGTTTCAGGCGTAATTTAGTGAAACGATTAACGGATGCAGGCATGATAAACAATGCAGAAAATCAAACTAAATTAACTGAGCAATAATAAAGTACACATGAAATAGCAGAAAAATCCCTCACTGAAATGAATAGAAAACAAAATGTTTGTAAGCAAAATGCATGAAATCAGACAAGCAAAGCACAATATCCAAATGTACAAAACAAACATAACTTGAAAATTGCAAAAATGTACTCACCGAAACTCCTACAATCACAAAATGGTGGCCACACCACGTGCAAAAAATTTACATTTACTTTCTTTTTTCTTTCTTGCAAATACATTTTGCTTTCTTTATGGCACGTGGTGTGGCCGCCATTTTGTGATCGTAGGAGTTTCGGTGAGTACATTTTTGCAATTTTTAAGTTATGTTTATGTTTTGTACATTTGGATATTGTGCTTTGCTTGTCTGATTTCATGCATTTTGCTTACAAACATTTTGTTTTCTATTCATTTCAGTGAGGGATTTTTCTGCTATTTCGTGTGTACTTTATTATTGCTCAGTTAATTTAGTTTGATTTTCTGCATTGTTTATCATGCCTTCATCCGTTAATCGTTTCACTAAATTACGCCTGAAACGGCAAAATTTCCTGAATCATCTTGACTTTTTACTTAAATGTAAATGTAAAAAATTGATCCCCAATTTTATTCAAATCAAATCTAATCAAAAACCTTCGAGTCGCGTTTCAAGAATTCTGTTAAATTGCAAACTTGCCTTACTTCGGTCCGTGATAAGGGATACACGTCAACAATTGTCCAAAATTGAACATGAACTCTATAAGCTTCATCTGGAACTCGCTAAAACATATCCAAAATTCACTGCCCTTGAACAAAAGTCTTGGTCTAGAACGGAGAATGCAGTTAACCGTCATAAAAACACCCTTGCAGTTAAATTCGAAAAACTTCTTTTACAGTCTTCCAGTTCAAGTAGTTCAAAAAATCTAAACATCAAGCTAATGTTAATATTTCTAATGTTAGTCTTTCAGAAGAACAAGAGAGAATCCTAAAATATAATTTTAACTTCTTACAAACCTGTAAACCCTCGATTCCAAAGATTTTGGCTCCTATCGAAAAAGCTTTCAAGTTCAGTAAAGTTTCAGATTCACAGAAAGAAATGATTAGGCATCTTATCGCTCATAATGTGAAATTCAATAATAAACCTTTGAAACCAAATCTAACTGCGAGAGAAAGAGCTACAATGCGTGAGATTCATTCTAACCCGGATATTCTCATTTCAAAGGCCGACAAAGGTGGCCAGATAGTCGTCATGGATAAGAACACTTACATCGATGGTGTCACTAAACTCTTAAACGAAGGACCATATAATCCGATCCCTAAAGATCCTTCACCTTCGGACTTATCCAAAATAAAAACTGCGATCAAATCTTCGCAAATCATTTCAAGCAACTTAAAACATTCGCTTATCCCATCTGTTGCAAATTGTGCCAGATTATATGCTCTTCCCAAAATTCATAAAAGTGGTATTCCTTTCCGCCCTATTGTATCAAATTTAGGTACTGCCTCGTATCCATTAGCTAAATATTTAGTTTCTAGATTTTCCACTCTATTAGACAATAACATTTACACCATAAAAAATTCAATAGAGTTTGTAAAAAAGGTTAAAAACATTTCTCCTCGTAATTTACTCATGGTTTCTTTTGATGTAAAATCATTATTCACCAATGTCCCAGTGGAGGGTGCATTAAGATGTCTAGAAACCAGACTTCGCGAGTTTCATTTCTCTTGCATCGAAATTGATGAGCTAATTTCTCTCACTCAACTCTGTTTGAAACAAACACATTTTGTTTTCCAAAATAAATATTACAAGCAAACTGAGGGATTAGCCATGGGAATCTCCCTCAGTCCCATCCTGGCTGATATCTACATGCATTATTATGAATCAAAATTGTTTGAAACTTTAAACTTCCCGGCATGGTTCCGCTACGTAGACGATACTTTTACCCTGTTTGAAGGTAATAAAGATGATTTAAATAGAGTTCTTTCAACAATGAATTCTATTGATCCTGCTATTCAGTTCACTTTTGAACTTGACACTTGCAATTCTCTTCCGTTTCTCGACATTCTGGTCACACGTAACACATCCAACTTCAGTACTACAGTTTACCGTAAACCTTCATCGGTTTGCCTTCCACCACACTTTAAATCATGTCATCCGACTAAACAAAAGTTAGCTTCATTTTATTCCTATGTTTTCCGTGCTCTTCAAGTTTGCTCCTCCAAACTAGCCCTTGATGAAGAACTAAATTATTTAAAAGCAATAGCTATTGACAGGGGCTTTTCACCCAACATTATTAATCAAGCAGTTAAAAAATTCTCATCTCAACACACTAAAAGCCACACTCTTATTTTAGGAGATTATAAAAATTCTGTTGTCATTCCCTTCTTTCCATCAATTAGCTATAAAGTTGCACATATTTTGCAGAAATTTAACTTTCGGGTTGTTTACTCTCCCATCGATAAAATTCCAACTTCTATACTCAAGGACCCCATTCCGGATATGAATTCCTGGGGTATTTATAGGATTCCTTGCCAGTGCGGTTTAATTTACATTGGCCAAACTCAGAGAGCCTTAAAATTTCGCGTCAAAGAACATGAGGCATATGTTAGAAAAAAGGAAACACAGAAGTCTTCTGTCGCTCAACATTGTTGGTCCGAAAATCACACTTTCAATTTTTCTGCTGCCAAAATTATTCAAAAAACATCTTCCATTGGAGAACTGGATTTTCTAGAGGCATTTCACATTCATAAAAATCTTTCTGTTCTAGTTAACGATCCTAATTCCAATCCAAATTTGCCTTCGGCTTTTAGAGAAATTATGTTTTAGTTTTGGTTTCACCAACAGATGGCACCACTTGCTTATTCTTGTCCAGGCTTTCTTATCTTATCTAAACATTATTTCCTATCTTGTTCATTTGCGGTTTTGCAGCTGAAGATGATGGTTCGGTAAAACCATCGAAACTAGTCCTGTGAAAATTTTGTAAATTAACGCTGATTTTTGTTGTTTGACTTCTGAATTTGATTAATACTATTCAACGTTAAAATATAAGAAAAAAAATCACTATGTAACTATTGTTCACATCCTCAACCATTATATTTGGAAAGAAAAGATACGTTGGAAACATTACTAAAGGGAAAAAAACTTTAAAAAACTAGAAAGCAAAATGTTTATTGGAATGTTAACAAATTTTAATGCATAAGTTTATTTCTTTAATCACAGTTTTAAATGAAACAAAAATTTCTAAAGAAATAAAGCAAAGACTTACTTTTTTACTATTTATAAAAGCCTTTTCAGCTGCTGCAGGACCAAAACCTGTCAAAGATTTCACAGATGACTGATGTGTAACTAAATGATGCGACTGTGAAAAAACTGATAATGCCAAAGTTTTGATTTCATCTTTACGTTGTCCAGAAGAGCTTCCAAAGCACATTATGGCATCAAGGCTTAAAAGCTTAAAAATATAAATATATAAAATAAAATACAAATAAAATACAAATAAGAAATATAAATAAAAATTTCAAATATTTTTGGTTGACGGTAAAATACCAATAAGGAAATTATCTTCAGTAACAACTGACAGGGTGCAAGCCATAACAGGGAAGAATATTGGATTCACTGCTTTATATCAACAAGAATCTTTTTATCCAAAATTTATTGCCTATCACCAGCAATCACTGTGTACAAAAATCATTAAATTCCAAAATGTAATTGCTGTTATTACAAAAATAATCAATTCAATAATGAAGACAAATGATATGCAACATAGACTACTTAAAGTGGTTTTGGAAAAAGATCAAGATACATAATTTACCGATCTTTTGCACATTGAGGTTTGTTGGCTGAGCAAAGGAAACACTCTTTAGCAATTTATCAATTTATTATTACAAATGAAAGAGTTTTTAACATTCTGAGAAAAAACTACAAACAGCTGGAAGACAAAAACTGGTTAACAAATTTGGCTTTTTTGATAGATTTAAACATTGCACTTAATAAGCTAAATTTGAAATAACAGAGCAGGAATAATCACATTACTGATATGATCAGTGCTATCAATAGCTTCAAGTCAATGTTAGAATTATACAGGTCTCAGCTCTTAAGAAAATCGTTAATGCATTTTCTCCAACACTGGGGGGAAAAAAAAAAAAAAAAAAAAAAGCTGAAAGGTTTCAGATTTTAAATAATGTCCAAAGGGGCTTTTTTTTTAATGTTTTGTGTGTTACCTTTATTTATTAAATATCATGTTCTTTGCATTTAAACCATAAAATTCAATTCAACAGGAATATCGCAAAATAATTTTAAAATGAGCATATCTTTAGAATTTCCGATACACAGTTCCGTGGGCTGGACATAAAAAGGTCTCTCCCCCCCTCCCGGTAGAGTGTTGCCATTGCTCGCTTTTAAATTGTTGAGTTTTTTAATAAAAATTCGTTAAGTTTTTCAAAATACAAAACAGATAATAAAACAAATTTCAAATTGGGGCTTCCAGATGCCCATATTCAGGTGGAAATATATATTATTCAAAACTGGATGGCTCTAGGCACTGTTGTTTTATCACAATGCGAGAAACATACATACATTTATGCAGATTCTTCATTATTTAATTTCTTTAAATAAAACAATAATATGTGGTTACAGCAATCTGAAAAGTGAATCACACATTTATAGTGAACCAGCGCAAAATGTCAAAACAAAACAACAACAACAAGAAAAAAAAAAAAAAAAAAAAATAGTCAAGGCAAATTGCCCCTCCGGACTAAAAAAAAATGCGGCAGAAAGTCTGAAACAGCATATTAATAGACTCATATCTGCAAATCATGCTTGAATTTCAAACTAAATTTGATTCTAGATTTGTTGACTTCGCGAATTTAGAGCCTATTTTAAAATCCTTCCCTTTAATATTATTGATGGAGAAAATACAGCTACAGCAACCTTTCTCTATTTTCATCTAAACAATGTTGAAAATTTAGAAATAGTAAACTTGCAAAATGATGATGTTTTAAAGTCTTATGAAACTAATAATATATTTTGTACCTTAGTAAAGAGAACGAGTATCCTATTTTAAAGTCACGTTCGGTAAAGATTAATTCTAATTGCTCAAGTACCTACAATTGTGAAACATTTTCGAATATGACTTATTTCAAGTTAAAGTATTGTTCAAAACACTGGCATAAAAAAAAAAAAAAAAAAAAAAAAAAAAAATAAATAAATAAATAAATATTTGAAGAGTATAAATTAAAAATTTTTGTTATTTAGTTCAGTAAATGTATACCTTTTAAACAACACTTGTTTACAATGAGAGAATTGATTATGAAATTTGAATGGGTGGTGTCCACTAAGAATTTAAAATTTTTTTTGTGCCCTTGATGGCCAAAAGGTTCCCCACCCCTGATGCCAATATGCAAGGATCTTGATGTCTACCACCATGGCACAACCAGGCTCGAGTACAACCACAATGGTTTCATAGGCAGAATTGAGATTCATCTGAAGAGGCACCTGTGATCTACCATAAACATGTATACAAGATGCCTTTCCTCTCATTTGATGGTGATAAAGCTGGTACAATTGTCCCCGACAGTCAGTCTATCTCTCCTACAGCCACAGTGGTTTCATAGGCAGAATTGAGATTCATATGAAGAGACACCTGTGATCCACCATTAACCCCTTCGTGCCAACTGTCACGTATACGTGCCAGCAACGAACGCATTTATCTACCGGCCGACACACAGGCGTGCCAGAGCATTGTTGTGTTTTCTACCGAATGTCACGTATTTGTGCCAGTACCTTGGAACGTTTTTCAAACTATAATTTCTGCCACAAGATGGCACTGTATGCCCATATGGTTTCAGATACATGTACATTAGACTTTCTACTCGAAATGAGAGAAGCATGACTCACATACACGTGTTTTTGATTATATAAACAAACGGGGAACTAAATGTTTCCGAATGGCGTGATTTATGACATCTCTTTAAATTGCACTTTATTCGCACGTGGTAGTTGTTTATTGTAAGTAGAAGTTTTATATGCACTAAAGCGTTGAGTATTTCAGTTTACAGTTCAGTTTTTAGAAAATAATTAGATCTTGTTAGACGTGAATTCTTTCTGTTTTTACCGTTTCAATGTCGAAGCGTCAAAAATGTTTAACAGAGCATGAAATAGCAGAAATGATGCAAATATTTCAGATATTGATTCTGAAATTCTGATATTGATTCTGAAAGATTAACTGAAAGACATTTTCCAAAACTTTGTTCAGAAGAGACTGATAAGAAAATGAGACGACGATGCTTCGTTTGTTCACATTCCCGGAAAAATCCTCCAAAACGGCAAATGAGTTATTACGAGTTCAAGGAATGTAACGTAGGACTGTATGTAGATCCCTGTTTTAAAATTTTTCATACGAAAAGAGAATTTTAAGTAATATATTTAGTTTTCAGATGTATAATGTTAAAAGTCATAAAATGGTGAGTAACTAAAATAAAATGTGTAAAATATGCATTTAGACAAGAAATAAGGTAATTAAAGTATATATATAAAAAAATATCTATAAAGCACAAGCAGTTTAAATAATCTATAGAGCATTATTAAACAATGCGTTGATACTTCGGAAGTTTCATGGATTTAGGCTTAGTAGCAAAAAAGCCCCTGGCCCTGGAGAGACGCTCGCGGAAGACACTGCCGGCCTCCGCGACAAGCGCGCTTTTTCACTACCCGGCTCGAAGGGGTTAACATATATACAAGATGCCTTTCCTCTCATTTGATGGTTATAAAGCTGTCACAATTATTCCCAATAGTCAGTCTATCTCTCCTACACACACCAATTCTATATTTGCATCACTGTGGCTTGATTTTGTCTCATACAAATCAGTTTCTCAAAAGGATAATTCACAATTTCTATAGAGCACAGTTCTTCTTTCAAACTCAGAAACTTGCTCAAATGAATGACACTTCTTTTGATGCAAAATAAAGCTTCCCATTCAAAGGGAATATACACAATTCCTGAACTTAAAACAGCTTAATCTTCTTTTTTACAGTGCTTCTGTAGACGTCATGACAAGTACACACAGGTTGTATGTGTACTGCAATGCTTATTATTTGCACGTGCCTTTGAGATCTGTCTGAGCATGGTGCAAATTTTAAGCCTACTGAAGATCTTCTTCATGGTATTACATTTTGGATGGCCAGTAACTAAGATTGAGTACTCACTGAATCAATTTTAACTACAATTGCTGATACAAGCAAGGAAACATTACATTCCCTGTACTTCAGAGCAGCAATCATATACATCTACATAACATAATTTAATAGTTAAAAAATTAAATACTTCTTAATTTTTATACTATTTACTTTAAATATTTAAATCTTTAGTTTACAAAATTACTGAAATGGAGAAAATTGACTTCCAATTTATGTATGCATTGCAATAACAAGTATATTTAATGCATTATGAATACTATACCTGCAAATGCATGGAGTTTCTAGTTGCCTCAGGTAAATCAGGAAGCATGTCAGCATAAGAATGTAAAAGACCCAATGTCACTAAACGATACAAGTTTGAGTCATATTGTGCAAATGTAAAAGGTTCTACTATGTAAATAACCAATGCTGGTAAATGCCTGTAATCATCATCTGCAGAATCTTGAAAACGAGTAGAGCTTTCAACATGTAATTCACCATTTGTGTCTAAAAATAAAATATACAAAATTGACGTAAAATATATCCGTAAATTTCATAATTTATTCATATAATAAAAATAAGCAGTTAATAGTTTTTCGACTAAACAAATAATTTTGACAGGAATATTTAATGTTGAGATATTCTTGCAAAAGATACAGTGAAATATGACAGAGCATATAAATAAGCATGGAAAAGGTTACATTTTATAGAACTAAATTCTCTGAAATTGAGGTGCAAGAGTTTTTTAATACAGTACAAAGTCCAAAATCCGGGTGTCCATTATCCAGAATAATCTAAAATCTGGACCTCAAAACCACAAAGTTTTATTTTCTTTTTGTATGCTTTACACATGCGTATTTGATTTTTCTTTCCATAATAAAACATGTGGAGATTTTCACTTAAAAATTCCGATTCTTAATTTCACTTAGGCACTAAATAAAACACCTCGTTATGAAAAAACAATCATGTAAGCATAAATTTGTGAGATTAATAATTTGGCTCCATAGCTGAGTTATCTGCTTGACATACATCTGAAACCAAAACATTCACCTATTTTATATCCCTGACGCCGACCTGGCAAGTCATTATTGATTATACCTTGCTTTCATCACCGCATGTTTATCAATACATGACAGCTTCAATAATAACTCATGCAGTGATGTCTAAACTTTTTTTTTTTAATATTAGCAACTGAATAACAAGAGTATGGCAACCCTTTATGCTAATATTATGCTTGGCGATGATTACAGATTTTAAATGCTCTTAAGAAATGTTGAAGAGGATAAATTCAATAAAAATTTCTTTTCATGCGCTAAAAATAGATTTTGTTAATGAATCTCATAGGCCAAAAGATTACATTTAGTGTTATTTTAATTAAGAATAACTGATATGTTATTCCCCACAAACCCAGAAGAATATGGCCGCAACCGGACGGCAGAATTTAGGGAAGACAAAATTTTTGGTATTTGAGGAAGCATCGAGGGACAAAATTAAGGAATGAGAAGTTTTTTATAATTTAGGGAAAGCACTGGGAAAGTTTAGGCGCAGTGAAAATTTAGGAAGGCGCTTTGTAGCAGAATTTAGGACCCACAGAAACTGCACCGGGCGGTATCTAGTGCCGGCCCTACATAAGGCCTTAAGTATATGTGGAAGTTTATTTATTCATGACTCAGATTAGTTTTAAGCATGCATGCTCAAGAAATAAACATAGGTATAGTAAATAACTAATACAATTCGGGCTTAATTCAGTACGCAACAGGAGCAAGATAAAATTCAGCTGAACAACTTGGCTTTCATCACCAATCTTGCAATATACAGGCAATAATGTGTAACGAACGCTATTAAGTCATGGCTTTTGGATAAGTTAGGCTAAAATTTACTGATTCTAAAGCATTTCACTTAATACAGCAAACTGCGCTGCTCCTTAATCTTCTAATTTGATCCAGCTTATTATTTTTTGCAGACTGTTATTATTAGAGCAATTTTATGAAAATTAAGGTTGATTATGTTGAAAATAGTTTCCAATTCTGGAGCTGCCAAAGGATCTACAAAGCGAAAGCATGTTTCGATGTCCACTAAACAAAAAGTGGAATTGCTGCAAAAAAATAGATAAAGGCATATCCGTCTCAAAATTATGCAAGGAGTATGGCCCTGAAAGTCAACTTTAATGAGATAAGAAAAAAGAAAAATGAACTTTTTGAATTTTTTGTGGATTCCGACACTTCACTCGCAATGAATAACAGAAAAAGTGTTCGTCGCAGCGAAAGCACGCCATTGACAGGTCCAATGCTAATGGCTCAAGCCAAAATATTTCATGAAGAAATGAACTTAAACACTGAGTGCACATATTCATTCGACAGCTTGGTTAACCAAATTTAAAAATCGTCATGGTATAAGACAATTAAAAATTTCAGGTGAAAAGCTTCAGGTGTTACTAAAGCTGCTGAACAATTTGCAGATGAATTCATTGAACTTACTAGTGAACAATTATCTCTACAACAAATTTAAAACGCTGATGAAATTGGTCTTTTCTGGCAATATGTATCGCGAAATGCCTTGGCAACCTCTACAGAAAAGGCTCCAACTGGTGTCAAAGATTCCAAAGCGAGACTATCAATTTTAGTGTGTGCAAGTGTTGCAAGAACGCACAAGTGCAAGCTTTTCGTAATCGGAAAACAAGCACAACCTCGAGCATTTAAAGGAGTAACGATTTTCCCCGTTATATATTTCACAAATAAAAGAGCATGGATGACACATTAATAAAAGAATGGTTTGAAAATCATTTTATACCCGAGGCTTGGCAACATTTGAATTCAGTTGGTTTACCTGATGACTCAAAAATACAGAGGCTGTTCACACATTTTTTAGACGATTTTGGTAAGTGGTAATAAAAAATTGTTTGCTGCAAAAGAAGTAATTGCAATTGTACTATGTTTTTAAAAGTCAAAATTATCGTCTGTGGCTTGAAAGTTATTGTTTTGTTTTTATTCAAAATGGCGAATTTAACACAGCAGCGGTTCAAAGGCTACATTTACTCTCTTTCTGAAGAGAAATATGCATACTCCGTTATCCAAAAACGATGTGAGAGTCATGGTTTTGTGATATCTAAAGCGTCGATAGGTAATATCATCAACAAGATAGGAAAAAACGTCAAATTGGAGCCTCAAGTGGGACAAAAATTCCAAACAAGTATCCAAGGAAAAAACGAACATCTTCGACTATTGCAAAGGTACGTTGTTTAAAGTTAAAAGAAAATCGACCTAGTCAAAGGACAGTTGCAAAATCATTAAAATGCTCGGTGTCTACTGTAAACAAAAAGATAAATGTTGATTTAAATCTTAAGAAAGCGAAAAAACGCAATGTGCAACGTCTTCTTCCAAAGCATATCGCTCAACGCAGGACACGCTGCAGAATTCTATATGAGAAACACTTATTCAAAGAAAAATAGAAAACAATTGTCACAATAGATGAATTTATGGGTCTATTTAAATGATTGTAACAAAAAAAAAAGAGCCATTTATTATGATAAAAGGGGAGAAAAAAAAAATTAAGTAAATGGTTCAAAGAATCGAAAGAAAGTTTTTCTAAGAGATTCATGATTGTTGCTGGTTTTTCTTATAATGGCAAGTTAAAAATAAAGAGAGTGCAAAAAAAATGTCAAGATTAACTCCAAATACTATCAGGAACATATTTTATCACCAATTTTTTTTAATGAAATACCATCGCTTTACCCACAGTGCCATCCATCTGTGAGACTCCATCAGGACAAAGCTAGCAGTCACACATCAAAATCCACTGTAAATTTCCTAAAAGAAATGGAACAAAAAACTGGTATCAAAGCCATACCCTTCACTGATATCCCTACTAAATCTCCCAATGTGTCACCTATGGATTTTTGTGCTTTTGGACTTTTAAAAACTGCATTATCCAGACGTTGCCCCCAAACCCTAACAGGATTCTGGAAAGCTGTCGGGAGGAATGGGATAGAATACCTCTTCTGCCACTTCAAAAGGCTATCCTGGAAATTGCGGTGTCGAAAGATAGTTCAGAATAAGGGATGTCAAATAGAACATTTAAAACACAAGAATTTTATGTAATTTAGTTTTGTGAATGCAATATACATCGTCTAAAAAATGTGTGAACAGCCTCTGTAGTCCTGATTGTAGACAACTGTTCGGCTTATACTTCACTTAAAAGTTTTAGCAAAAGATAATGTATCCATATTATTCTTCCCTGCAAATTGTACGTCTGTCATTCAGCCTATAGATATCGGAATAGCGCGTGCACTGAAACGCAAATATAAAGTAGCATTTTCAAAATCTATGTTAAATTTCTTGAACAATAGTGAGACCATTCAAGAATTTTTTAAATATTTCAACATAAAATCTGCTGTGTGGAGCATCGCAAGATCGTGGGAGGATGTCTCTCCAGATATGTTAAAAAATGCTTGGCATAGTTTACGGCCAGCTACCTTATTTCATGGTGAGGACGATGAAGATGATAGCCACAAATTTGAAGGTTATCGGACATCAAAAACTAAAGATGAAATTTTCCAGTTATTGGATTTTGTAAAGAAATGTGGAGAAGCGGCAATAAATGAAGATGATATAACAGAAGTTTTTCATTGCGATGACAATGCCCCAAACATCAATCAATCAACGGACGGCAAAATCTGTAGTATGGTTCTAGATCCAGAAAATACCGCTACTGATAGTGAAGAAAGTGACAGAGAGGTTACTGAAAACGAAAAGTTTCAATTGATAAGTTAGTCGGTATTCTCGACACAACAATTACAGGACTTGAACAATGAAATAAAGTACTGATTTCAGACTTTGTACTGTATATAGTATACTTTTTCTTTTTGTTATTTTGAGAAACTTATGAACAATAAGTGGCCCTAATGTAGCTGGAGGAGATATGCTATCTATGAGCATGTTATATAGAGTATAAATTTCTAAAATCAGCTAAGAGATATTTTTCAGATAGTTTTCCCTTTAACTCTGTATCTCCTTCAAAGAATTATTTGGAGGATTTCTGCTTTTACATCTAACAGTTGAATAGTAAGGTAAGTTTGACTGAGTCCATTATGACAAGAATCTACTTCTATGAAATGCCAGTAGTTGATTTAAAGGATGATATTAGTGAGTAGCAGGGGAGGGAAAGGATTAAAAACTTATATTTAAGATTTAAAGTTGAATTAGAAATAATCCAAATTCAAGGCAGATTGAAAATTGAAAATCCAACAGAAAGCACGATTAGTCTAAAGAATCCTAAATAGTATATACTTTTTCTTGTTAATGTATCAAAATAATAAGCATGGATAAAGTTTGCAGTTATTATTTACTTCAACACACAAAAAAAAATTGCAAGGCGAAAAAGGCTTCTCAACATTACTGTTTACATAATAAATAATAAACCAAATGATTAAGAAAAATTTAAAGAACCTCTACTTGGGAAAGCACACTACATAAAGGAATCTTATGTGCAGTTTGCTTCCAGATTAATTA